AAAAAATTACTCAATAAATTTACATAAAATTAGGATTCAGACCAAACAGTAATGTATTATTGTAACCAACAAAACAAATTAAGTCATATCTCTGGAAAAGCTAAAGATATCAGAATGAATCAGGTATCAAAATGTAGCTTTTAAAGCAGGAATCTGAAAATGTAATTAAGTTTTGTCCAAATTTGACTTAATCCTCATTTTGATATGATGGGTCACGTATTTTTAACGAGGAAAAATCCATTAATTACGCTTTTCAGAGTTGCCTTCCTTTTAAACAATCGTTCCTTTCAGGAGGAAAGAAAAAGTCAAACTACTGTTCAGCAGCTTGGATCGTTGCCAGTTTTATGGAACATTTTCAAGTTCAAGTCAGCGTATGAAGACTGAACTTTAACTTTCTCAGTCATTAGTTTTCATATTTTGTACATCATATCATTTTACATTTTCTCAAGTATCACAAAACTGCTGCATTGTTAGACTATTGTGAGGTGCCCAGTGATTCCCACGTCTAGTTCTGAAGTTGTGTGTGCGTGACTGTTCGCCGCGCGTACATCGACGTGTTCTTTCTGATGTCACAGACAACTTCACTGACGCAGCGGTGAGCGGCAGGATTAACGGTGAACATAAAGAGAAGGACCTCGAGCCCTGGGACGGAGGAGAAACCCACAACTCTGACAGCCTCGAGTCTCTGGATACAGATGTGGTGAGGCAGTCAGGCTGGTGTCGTATAGGAGGTGGGGTTCATCTGTGGATCTTTTAGTTAAATTTGATCTCTGCTACTTTCTGTCTTGAATCCAGTCGAATGGGTGGGATCCCAACGACATGTTCAAGTTCAACGAGGAGAAATACGGAGTTTTGTCGACTTATGACAGCAGCYTGTCCACGTATACGTAAGCTCATCTTTTTATTTTCTTTTTCACATGTTGGAAAAATACTAAAAAAAAAAAGAAAGCTAAAAGTCTGCTTTAAATTTTCTGGTTGTTAACTCGGTTGCATCCTGTTTCTCAAGTCTTTGTTTTCGTTACACAACAGTTTTCTGTCCATATCACTCCTCGCCTGTTCTTTCCAGGGTCCCCTTGGAGCGTGACGACTCCGAGGAGTTTCTGAAGAGAGAAGCTCGCGCTGCCCAGCTGGCAGAGGAGATCGAGGCCAGCGCCACGTACAAGGCCCGCGTGGCCCTGGAGAACGACGATCGCTCCGAGGAGGAGAAGTACACGGCTGTGGTGCGAGGGGAGAGGGAGACTCACACGCTCAGCAGGTGAGGTCAATTTACACACGGAGGATACGTTCTGATTATTCTGACTTTGCATTACAAGCTTGGCAGATAGCTTAGTCCTGATTGCGCAACAACTTCAGAATCAATCCACACACGCTAACATGTGTAGCATCCGGATTTAGTCCTGTAAACACAGCGTCCTGCCTTCTACTCATGTGGGTCACCCACGGGTCCTTGAAACCCTTGAAAGTTTGTGAATTTGAAAAAAAAAAGTTGATTTCAAGGCCCTGGAAAGTTTGTGAAAACAGCCAAAAATTACATATGTCCTTGAAAGTCCTTGAATGTTTTTTGGGGATTGAAATTCTCTATTCACATGACTAATTT